ACCAACAACAGCAACCGACAACAACAGCCAACAACCAACAACAAACAGCGCCCAACAGCAACAAACAACAACCAACAACAACCAACAACAACCAACAACAACAAACAACAACAAACAACAACAAGCAACAACAAGCAACAAAGAACAACCAACAACGACAAAAACGACAACACACAACAAAAACAGCAACAAACAACAACAAACAACAACAAACAACAAAAAACAACGACAAACAACAACCAACAACAACAAACAACAACAAACAACAACAAAGAACAACAAACAACAACAAACAAGAACACACAACAACAAACAACATTAAACAGCAACCAACAACAACCAACAAAAACAAACAAGCACAACAAGTACAACAACAACACGTCACCAACAAGACCAACAACAACCAACAACAACAACAAACAACCAACACCCAACCAACACCCAACCAACAACCAACCGACAACCAAAAGGCAAACAACAACACACAGCCACCCAACAACCAACAAGAACAACAAGAACAACAACAGCAACCAACAACAACCAACAACAACCAACAACAACAACCAACAACAACCAACAACAAACAACAACAACCAAAAACAAACAACACCCAACAACCGACAACCGACAACCAACAACCGACAACCAACAAACAACAACCAACATAAAACAACAAAGAACAACAACGTACAGAAAAGAACAACCAACAACAAACAAGAACAAACCCCAACCACCAACAACAGACAACAACAACAACCAACAACAACCAACAACAACCAACAGCAACCAACAGCAACAAGGACAACCGCAACAAAAACAACCAACAACAACCAACAACAGACGTCCACAACAAACAACAACCAACAACAACCAACAACAGCCAGCAACCAACAACCAACGACCAACGACCAACAACCAACAACCAACAACCAACAACCAACAACCAACAAAAAACAAACAACAAACAACAAACAAGCGACATTAAACAACAAACAACAAACAACAAAGAACAAGCAACCAACAACCAACAACAATCCACAAACAACAACCACCAACCAACAACCAACAACCAACAACCAACATAAAACAACAAGCAGCAAACAGCAAGCAACAAACAACAACCAACAACAACCAACAACCAACAACAACCAACAACCAACAACTAACGAGCAACAAGCAACAAGAACAGCAGCAACAACAGCAGCGCAGCAACAAAAGCAGCAGTAGAAACAACAGCAACAACACCAACAACAACACTAGTAACAACACCCACACCAGCATCACCACCACCAACACCAACAACAACCGCAACAGCAACAGCAACAACAACAAGCACCACCACGACCACAAACAACAACAACAACAACAACAACAACAACAACAACCACAACCAACAACAACCAACAACAACCAAGAACAACCAACACCACCAACACCAACCAACACCAACAACACCAACCAACACCAACCAACACCAACCAACAACAACCACACACCCAACAACCACACAACAACCAACAACAACCAACAACACCAACAACAACCAACACACAACCAACAAACACCAACAAACACAACAACACACACCATCACACACACACAAACACCAACCACAACCACAACAACAACAACAACACAGCAGCAGCAGCAGCAGCAACAACAAGAACAACAACAACAACAACAACAACAACAACAACAACAACAACGACAACGACAACGACAACGACAACAACAACAACAACAACAACAACAACAACAACAACAACAACAACAACAAACACTACTACTACTACTACTACTACTACTACTACTACTACTACTACTACTACAACCACAAAAAACAACAACCGCAACCACAACACCAACACCAACACCATCACCACCACCACCAACAACAACAACAACAGCAACAAGAACAACAAGGTACCGTGCTGCGTTCGCGGCCCTGCGATTGGGACGTCAACATGGGAAATACCCTCCTTTTTACAACAAAGTCGATTTTGACATCACAAAAGTGGTCCGCGAAAAAACTTTGGTTTGGGATGTGCCAGGCGAAGCTCTTTTTTTACTTCCAGAATGACCTGCTGGCTTCGCAGACTTGCAGGTGCACATCAAGCGCCACAACATCACGCGATTCCATAGCGGTCCTTTGTGGCTTTGCCACAGAACTTGGACCACACTTTCCTGTGGCTCCATGATCCGTGCGCCCGAGCCCACTGTTTCTTCCGGTGGTTGGCAGCGACAGAAGCATTTCCCGAAGCAGTGGGCTCGCAGGAAAAAAGCCGCGCAGGTCAGTGGAGTTGCAGATGCTTGACCGATTAGTCATAAAGGATCGCCAGGTGTCACATGCTTCTAGCCACCTATGGGGTCGCGTGATGTCCTGGTGCTGCATCCTTGTGCCTCTTTGGGGTTTTAGGGTCTTCCATGAGCCCGCTGCGAAAAAAAACCTACCCACAGAGCCACAAACCTCAAAAATGTGGAAAGTGTCAGAAAGGCCTCAACAACGCACAAGAATAAACCTGCATGGCGCACGCGCACAAATGCAGAGAAAATACTGCCCAGCTCAACATGAACCCACTTGACTGAAAAGCGCTAAATCTCAGGGCCGCGCAAGCAGCGCCGCACCAACAACAACAGCATCAGCAGCAACAACAAGAACGCTAAGAAGAACAAGAACCGCAACAATAGCAAGAACCATAACGACGATGACGGCGACGAGGACGACAGCGACAACGACGAGGACCACGGCGACAACGACGACGGCGACGAGGACGACAGCGACAGCGACAACGGCAACAACACCAACGAGGACGACCACGACCACGACCACGACAACGACAACGACACCGACAAAGACGACGACAACAACAACAACCACAGCATCAGTAGGAGCAGCACCAACGACAACAACAAAGACAACGACACCGAGAACAACGACAGCAAGCGCAACATCGGCAATAGTAGAGCAGCAACAGCAAGAGTCACAGCAATAGTGACGACAACAACAAAAATCTCCGCCGCATCAAAGCATCACATACTGCAATATGCGAAAACGCTGTTGTGGAAAGCGTTCACTCGAGCTTCCCATCTAAGCTACTTTTGCCCAACAGTGAGTGCAGGGTACTCGCACCGTGGCGACACATGGGGCTGTGGTAGCTGGTAGAGTTCGGTATGAAGGTATGAAAAGTGTCACAAGAGACATATTCAAGCGGTCATGAGTTATGAGTTTCCGGGCGCAATGGTAGCAGCCCTTCAACCGCACCTTCTGTGGGGCAGTCGCGGGCAATGTGATCGCCGCCGCAATTCCAGCAGCCGCTATCCTTGCCTGGGCACACAGTGGCCAAATACCAAACAGTGGCGGGCTGCTACTGTTTGTGTGTATTCGTCGCGTGCGCCTGTTCAATGAACAGCCAACTAACACACAAAAGCCGCGGTGCCTTCAAGAAGTCTTGAAGACCGCACCGTTGCAGGATAAAATAATTTGCCTTTCCGCAAATAAATGGCAAAGCACGCCTGCGCAAGTCCCACTGACTAAAAGAATGACTTTGTGCGATTCATTTTAAGTGGGAACCACATTGCCAATCAATCCAGTGTGGGGCAGCCATGTGAGCTCCCACAAAATGCTATCACGTTGCGACTGTCACCACTTTGTTGCATCCTTTTCCGGCTTACAAGGGCTTACACAGCCCTACAAGTCCGGGTGTCTTTCCTGTCATGTTCGTGCCACAGTCATGTCGCATCCTTGTGCCCTTACACAGTCTGGGGCTCCGGGCCACCCTTCTTGCCCTTGCCCTTGCCCTTGCCACCCTCGGGGCAGTCCCGCGCGAAGTGGTCGCCGCCGCAATTGAAGCATTCCACTGGGCCTCCAGTTCACTCCCCCGCGCCACACGCCTACAACTCGTGTCATGCGTGACTAAAGTCCCCCCCACAAACCACAAATTGGAAAACCTAAACTAGGATCTAATGCAATATTACAACCTAAACAAAATACAAATTTATAACAGAAAACAGCATCATGTTGCGCCCCGCCTCCCATGTTGCCAAAACGCAAAGACGCCGCTGGCGGGACACTGCAAACTGCTGAAGCTGAATTCTTCAGACATGCACACATTGCCAACCAAGCCTTCGAGAAGGCTTTTGTAACTGCAAACTGGCATTGCGCAACGACAACAACAGCATAACCTGCCCTCATCTCGAACGTCATATTCCACACGTTGCTGCCTCAAGCTACAATGCCTTCACGGCAACAATCTACATGTCTCCAACGCCTCTAGCATTCTGGATCAACAGCTGCAATGGCTAAGTGTGACAGCCAACACAAAGAATGGCCCTTGTGAGGGCCTACCTGAGCTGAACCAACAGCCAATCCTTCACGCAACGTGAGCAAATAGCCAGCCATCGGGCATAGCAGCGGACGAGGCGATCTGCAAGCCGAGCATGCGTCGCAGGTGCTCAAATGAAGGTGTCTCAAAATGGTGGACTGCCTTTGTTAGCTCGTGTTTGGAAGGGAACCAAACTGGAGACACAAACCATTGGATGCCTCTCCTCCGTAGCAACACGTTGAACACTGTCAAGTTAGCTCTTCTTTTCAGGCGATGCTCTTGGGCATGGCGTTCGGCTGCTCCATTTCAGCAGTCGACGCTATGCGCATGCGTGGACCCATTCACAGCGTGTCAATTGAAACTTGGCTCCGTGCACGTCCTCGTTAAAGAAAAGCTCACTTGAAACTAGCCCTAAAAGGTGATGTTCAAGAGCTGAACAAAGAGAAATGAAGGGAATGCTGTCTAATATGGAATGAGTGTCCAAAAAAAAGGGGCGCCACGTGCCACGCAAACGATTAACAGGTGCTCTGATTTCATCATACGCAGCCAATTCAGGCTCTTGATACCTTCTGACTCTGTCTTTCCACAAGTGTCAAACATCAGTTTTTCTATGTCACGCACTGCCCAGCAAAAGTCGACATCCACGGAACAACTCATCAAAACATATGAAAGTGCAAGTCAGCGTGCTGAACTGGACACCGCAAAGCCCACTTTGGAGAAGCGCGCGCCTGAAGATTCAGTGTCCTCGGTCTGGGCACTAAAGTGGGTAGCCTGGACACCCTGCAAATGTTCATTCCCGTGCTCTCGCGAGCGTATGAGATCAAACAGCAGCCAGGTGGCCGTGGTAAAGGCGCTGCCAGCCCTGGTCAAAGGCATGGGAGGGCTTCGGGATATTTTGACCAAACTTGTCCGTCCACGCTTTGAAAGATATGCCGCGCAAACCTCAATCAATTCAAGGGAGTGTTTGTTCACCCTCCCTCCCCTCCCACTTCTTCCCGATGGAGATAACAAGGCTTTACTCAGGGCTTACTTGAAGAAAGCCATGGTGTTCAGGTTGAGAAGTGATCCCATGATTCACAGAAACCAGAAGAACAGTTCTTCTCTATCAGTTGGCCATACCACATGTGAATTCACGAATTGCCGAATTGGTAGGGTGGAAACCTATGTGTGTCATGAAGAAAGCATCGTGTTCGGGAACTGCATGGACAAACGCCGTGCGAGCGGCAAAGAAAGCTGCCCCTAGAACACGGGATCCCAAGAGGGTGCAAAACACAAAACCCGAAAAAAAGAGAGAGAAAGAAACAGACAAGAACAACTCAAATCTATTGCTTTGGGACCCTGTGACCTACTAGAGTGTAGATCTTCGAGCAACCTGTCTCCCTACGGCACGCAGCTTATTTCAAGGGTCTTGAGACCGATGGAGATTGAATGTATATATATATTTATATGTATGGTCACCCCCCCATGATCCACACCTAGCATGTGGTATGCGAAAAAAACACTGTAAATGACAGTGCTTCTCAACATTTTATATATGTTGAGGCTCATCAGATTCTGGAGCAGGCATGATGGATGTCGCAGTGTCTTGCAAAGCAGATGATTTGCCTTTTGCTCAGAAAGCTGATGATTTGCATTTTTTGTTCTGTCTCAGGAAGTAGATGCTTTCCATGGTTTGCCAGACCATAAATGCAAATGATTCGCAGGAGCTTGCGCGATTGGAAGCAGAAAATGCTGAGACGGGTACCTAGCTTGGGAGGGTGCCGAGAATCCTAAAAAACCTAGTCTTAGGGACTCTTGGCTGGCCGGGTACCTTGGCTAGTTTGTTTTTTTAGTTTTTCCGGGCCAGCCGAAGAGTCCTTGAGATTGTTCTTTTTAACAAATTTAACTGCCCTTTCAGCACTAGGTTGTTTAAGTAGCCTCTCAGCACTACCGGGCCAGCCCAACATTTATTCAGACGTGGTTTTGTAAGTTCTTTAGGTCCGGTACCCGGGCCAGCCCAAGAGTCGCTGAGACTGGGTTGCTCAAGTTTTTTAGGTTCGCTCAGCACTTTCTGCCAGTCTCAGCATTCTGTGCCCAAAGTGTGCGCCTAAAAAATCTAGCCTTGGCAGCTTGGATATTGGATAGTTGAAGACTGGTGGAGACTAGGTCTTTTCAGGTTTTTCTCTTGGCATTTTTGGCAGCTGAAGGCAGAAAAATAGCCTCTCAGCATGTTGATATTCGACAAGTGTTGAGAAGGTGCCTACTCGGGCAAATCTACGTGTAAGTCGTCATGCTGTACTTGCTTCTGTGAAAAGCCAAGAGAATCAGTAAGACAATAGAAGCCCAAGCCCAAAAAACATGCAATTTCGGGTCTTTAGGCTTACACGTTTTCTTTGAGAAAAGTAACACCTTAATTAGCATTCGAGTAATAGTAGAATTGAACTAGATCTTCAATAAAAAAAATCCAATCTACGTAGGGCTCTAATCAGAATTTAACTTGAACCCTAGCAAGGAACGACAAGCTGGTTGCTTCTTCTAATTGGATCAACTAGGATGGTCATTTTGAAACAGGAACTCCTGCGAGTTAGAATGTTGACTGAAATTTACGGTATCTGTTTATTTGGAGCTCTGATAATTGAATTAGATGTTTAACAAGACTTTTCAAGTAGTATTTTCAGTAGCATTTAAAATATCATAAGGAAAGACCAGCTGCTCGCTTCTTCAAGCGTGCCTGCCCCCACAAAGGAGTGAACAACCTTTAGAAATCCGAGGAAAACACAATTTCAGCGCTATTGGCTTACAAGTGTTAAATTGCGGGGCGTTTTGTTAAGTTCAAGTTGGTTGTTTATTGGAACTCCAGAAGCAGTTTATTTTAACTTAGATGTTTAACAGGAGTGAATGCTAAGTAGGATTTTAATCCGGGTGTGAACAGAATCTAGTGAGGCAAGAAAAGCAGGTTGTTTCTTCTAATGTGCCTTAAAAGGGGTGAACAACCGCCAGAAACTCAAGGAAAAAACAATTTCAGTTCGCCCTGGCACCGCGCACACGCCAGAACATGACCCGCACTGCGCGCGCGCCTGACAATGGTAAGCACGCATGGTAAGCGCGCCCGCCCGACTGCTGCGTTATAACTACTGCGCGCACGCCTGACCATGGTAAGCGCACCCGCCCGACTGCTGCGTTCTAAAACTGCGCGCGCTTGACAATGGTAAGCGCACCCGCTCGACCAACGATGTTTTTGGCGGACGCGAAAAGGTCGTCTGCCACACTAGCACGATAGACTCTACCTGGTCAAGCTGCAAAGCATATGTCCCGAATTCGCTGCCTTCGTGCAGCCCGCATCTGCTCTTGTATGTAAAGTCTTGGCAGCGGCGCTATGTCTTGCGCCAATGAGATGTGGAGCTGCAAACTGTCGTAGCGATCGCAAAAACGTGAAAAAGGAGAAGCGCTTCGCCTCAGCGAAACGCAAAACGCCCCTAAAACTGAGCCCTCTTTTCGGAATGTTCTTTGGGGACTCAATGTGCGTTTAGCTGAGGTGAAACGCAAGTTTTTCAGAAAAAGCGGCAAAACGCGAGCGCGGATTTCGGTCTGCCGGGAAGATTTAGTTACAAGTCTTCATAATTGGAATTCTTATTCTGAATGGAATGATCATCAGAAATTCCTTTCCAAGTAGGATTTTAATTAAACATTTAAACAGAATCCAGTGAGGACGGGCACAATTAGCAAAATGCAATTTCTCGCAGTTTAAGTAGGATTTCATTTGGAATCTGACTAGAATTCATACTTTGAACCCAGATTTTTAAACTAGCACACATACGTGCAGCAGTACCCGCACCCCCCTGAAGCAACAAAAGCGTTGCAAAAAAATGTGCTAAAAAACCAAGGCGTGGATCATGGGAGGGGGTTAGCAAATATGTATATGTTAGGTATACACTGGGTACATACCCGTGCGAATACTGCAACTGTGTATCGATGATCAATGGCTGATCAAGGGCTTCCTTTGAGGCTCCACATGCTCCACGCGCAACTCGTCCAACCTGTCAAATGTTTATATAAGCTGTTTATACGGCCCGACAAGCCTGGTGCAGAATCAAATGAAGAAACTCTCTGGCCATATTCCTTGCCTGGAGAGATGTTCTACCGCTGGCAGCTTGACCTGTGCAAACGTTGGCAAACGCGTTGTGTGTGTGTGCGTGTCAAAACCAGGGATGCTGCGCGGAGCGTTGTTTCTCCACAAACATAAAGCACCCCATGCGTTTGGGAGGGGCCGAGTTGTTTGGACAGCCAAACAGACTCACGTGCGTCCAAGATGCGCCGCAAGCCATGTCAAATTCACGTTGACGGTCACCTGCCTTGCAGGCGGGATTGGACTCGAGAACCAGGTCCTCCCACGTCAGCATGCACCGTAGCTGAAATGCGGAACTCGGGGCGCTGGCGGTCGTTCTAAGTAGCCCAGTTTTCCGACCAATATAGTGGTTGCGGATGCGGCATGGCCTGGCGTTGGCTGACTTGGCACAAACGGGCGCAAAGGGGCCCGTGCCTGAGTATCGCCGAGAGAGTGGAGGCGGTGGAGGCCACGGCCATGCACTATGCCGGTGCCCGTATGATGTTCGTGATTGTGCTCAAACAATCAGCCTTGTTTCGTGACAACCAAATCCGTTTGGCTAACGTACTTGCAGTGGTGAACGCGAATGATGGAATGCGGCGGGGCTGGTATTGGCGCCAATGCAGTCGAGGCTTGCCATATTGGACAAGTGGGTGAGAAAAAGGGAAAGAAGTGAAATCATCGCAGACAAAAAAGTGAATCTGCCCAACAGTCCAATAAATTTGCCAAGGAACGGTCACCGGAAAACTAGTGCGACGGTGCAGAAATTCAAAACCAACTTTGTGCCTTTTACAAAGATTCACTTAAGGCCCCTACCACGGCGCCACTTTTTTGATGGACCCTCCAGGGTAAACTTAAGCCCAGGAAAAATTCTTCTCTGGCGCCAAGAGGAAACCATGCGTAACTTCTCCAGATGAGCCGCCCAGTTTAGGAACCACTTGTCTTTCCACTTGCAGTTTAGCCTACCGTGAAGAAAAAACTAACCCTACCGCAAACAATTGGAAGACTGAGTTAGTGGCGAGTTGCCAGTTCTCATTGTGGCTCTCGACCCACGCATCAGAATGATCAGCTTGTGTGTGGCTACACTTAACGACGGCCTCGCGTTCGCTAACACGTTTTTGACGTTGCTGCGCCGAGGGCTGATTCATAAACCCTCCGTGATGAAAGTTGTCCAACATCGGTGGAAAAATAAGGTTAAACATGTGACAAAGCTTGGTCTCAAACAACCGTCTTTTGGGCCCCCCAAACTGTAAACTGTTGACGTAATTCTGTCTTAAATATTTTTTGGGCCCAACTAAACAAAGAACCCTAGCCCACCCCCACTCAAACAAAAACACCTCCTATTTGAGAAGGCTTTGTTTGTGAATTGTTGTTTTTGTCGAGGGTGTCTCCCTTGAAACTTGCCCCTCTGATCTCATACATCTAGCTTTGCAAGACCCAGCCCCCAAGCTGCAAATTCTTTAGGGTGAGGTGATCCGACAAAGGGTCCAAAAACAAGCGGATAAACTGAGAAGCACAGAGACAGTGGCAGAACTGCGTGCGCATCAAAGACGTGAGCGCGAATCACGAGACGCAAGAGCAATACCACACCAAGAGCAGACAAAACGCGGGACTCATGTGTGTTTGAGCTAGAATGCGCAGTAGCAAGCGTCCTCCCTTTACTCGGCTTTTACCCCCCCCCCACCCACCCTCTCCCCCCTCCCCCGCAAACACGATGAAAGTCGAGTTACCTGCGCCTGCGCGGGGACAGCTGTGAAAACACAACGAGCGCCTGGCCAGTTGCGGCCGCCGCCACCTAAAACTTGTAACCTCAAGGCTAAGCAATACGAAACAGTGTCGACCATGAGTGTCAAGTCCCCAGCTCACAACTCCTCATAGTGTTTGATAGGCGTGGGCGGCGGTGCGTTCATAGTGGTGTCTGCCCATCGTAGAAACGGTAGTCCGGATCGGAGAGCATAGGTTCTGTCGTACACTCCCTTGGTCTGAATCGCGAAGGTCGGAGCTGCGTTTGCCGCAATCGACGTAAAGGACACGGGCATTGTAGAAACCTTGGACGGGCACAACTCCATGAATCTTCAAGGGCGGCTCCCAGGTTGAATCAGTTCCGTGCGTGCTGATGATGACGTCCTCGAAGGGTGCGCCCACTCCGCTCTTGACGTGAATGATTTGCAGCGCTGGAGCGTCGGATCTGGATCTGTTGCTTGGTGCCTTCGAACCTTCTGACTCGGAAAGCAATCCATACCAGATTCTGAAGTATGTTGCAGTCATGTTCCACGTCTCCTTTCACAAAACATCGAGTCTTGCTCCACCTTGAGTTAGCACAATGGCCTCTACGAAGGGTCTTTTGCACGGTCTTGTTGAGGGTTCCTTCCGTTTCTTGCGGCGTCAAGGCTGGACAAATTTCTGGGAAGCCGAATAGGATATCCACAGCCGGGTTGACATGTAGGGTTGCTACGTTCACTCTCCTGGTAGCACAGGTACTTGATGAAAGACTTGTTGGTTTGTCTTGCTCCTGTTGCGCCGGATCTCTGTAGGAATCATCACTGTTCTTCCACCGCCCATCTGGGCAGTTGCTCTTGCCCGAACCTTGCCAGCCCCAGCTTTTCCAACTGGTTCAAGAGGATTTTCATGAGGGCTAGAAATCTTGTCCCTTGTTTGAATCTCAGTCTCAAACTTTCACCGGAGAACTCGCGGAGGTCGCGGGCGCGTGCTTCGATGATGCTGCTCCGATCAGGCTCTGCGAGGAAGAGGGTCTGGTTCCTCCAACGCCTCTTCTCGTTCACGGCGGTTATGATTCTGCGTGAAAACTCTTTGGCATTCGCGTGTGGTTGAATCTGCCACGCCGATCTGCCAGTCCGTCTTGAACATGAGCGGAACATCGCCTCCCGTGGGGTTCTCTGTGACGTCGGTAAGCGATCATCTTCTCCGTTGGGACGACAACTTGGTTGTCAAGATCTTGCGGCTGGACTCGTCGAATTGTTGTTCAATGTCATCGTACTTGACCATGAAAAGTATAATGCGTGGGAGACTTGGTTTAATTCATGGATTAGAAAGTCTGTCGTGTTGCCGGTCATAATGTAGTCGGTTGCGTCAACGACACGGTTCTGGACCCTTCCTCCGGACGATACGGCTAGACTGAGGAATTTCAAGCATGGGTCTTGTCGTGGGTGTAGGCTTCGGCATGGCCTTGCTTCGGCCTTCCTTCCAGCGGTTTCTTGTGTGGAACGTTTGTTGCTCTCACCCTGATCGCTGCGAGGTGTGTGTGTGTGTGTCCATGTGTGGCACTGACATAGATCTCCTCTTGGACGCATCGAACAGCGCCGCGGCGAGCATGAGTTCTCGAGTACCAAGATAGGAACGAATCTTGCTGATTGCTGCGAGAACGCGGGATAGAAGAACACTTCCGTCCTGTTCTTGTGGTAGTGGTCGGTGGCCTGCAGTGAATTTTCGTGAGATCTTCTCCTGCAAGAGAAAATCAGTTGAGCTGATACCCGCAAGGATTTTTCGGATCCGCCAGACTCTTGCAAGTTCCATCGCGGTAGATCTACACCGCCTTGGCAACTGAATAGTGTGGGAACGACCTGTCTTTGCTACGTGGGTGGTGAATGAAGCTGCTTGAGTCTTTCACGCGGCCCTGGAGCGGATTCTCGTGGTTTGCTATGTGGTATGTGGTTCCATGATCCGGCTAGGGTTCTGTGGCTGGTAATGGAAACCTGGGTTCTGTATGAAGTGGCGCTCCCAGAAACAAGCTGTGATCCTTTCCATGAATGAACCTTCGTAGCTGGAGGAAGGATTGTCGATGGAAACTGCTGTTTTGGCGCGAGCTGTTTTTGCGCAGGAATGTCTGATTCACCGCTTGGAATCATCATCGGCTTGATAGTCGGCCTTCTGGACTCGCGCGAGAGATCTTTATTAACCGGCGGCGTATCTAAGGTCAGACAAAACCGCATGGATAAACTAGACACAGCGTCCTCCGTTTGCAAGTTCGGCGGCTCTATGACTCCCACTTCAGAAAACAACAAACATTCCTTACAATATAGATGTCTGGCGGCCCACATTTGAGCCGCACCAAATTATGCGATAAGGGCCATCGTAATCAATCAGCCAACCACAAGCGCAACTTCCAATTTGCTTCCTTAGGATTTGCACTGATGAAGGAATGAATCAACAAGCGCCTCAACAAGCTTTCATCAATGCGCGGGGCTGCACACGGCACTTGCGTCAAACGCGTGCGCAAGCATTTTTTGGAATGCCTGGAGGCAATTTCACAATGCTTTGCACATTGCGGCCGCAAAGATTCGACGATTTGCAGCGAAATGTGTTCAGTCCGTCAAGGTGGGAGCAGCGTTGTGCTTTCGGGTTGGTTTCGGAACGGTTCCGCAATTTTAAAACGGTTTCGGAATGGTTTCAACAAATGGTTTGGAGTGGTTTCAACAAATGGTTTCGGAGTGGTTTCAAAATGGTTTCAGAATAGTTTCAGAATGGTTTCAGAATAGTTTCAGAATGGTTTTCCTTTTGGTTTCGGAATGGTTTCAGAATGGATTTCGGAACGGTTTCAACATGGTTTCGGAATGGTTTCAGACTGTTTTCAGAATGGTTTCCACATGGTTTCTGAATGGTTTTAGCATAGGTTTCGGAAGGATGACAAAATGTTCGCAACACGCTTGGCAGGTTTCTGCAAGGCGTCTGAGTGGTTTCAGAACGTTTTTAAGAATGGTTTCTAAGTGGTTTCTGTTTCAGACTGGTTCCAAGGTGGTTTGAGAATGGTTCCAGAAATGGCACCAGACTGTTTCAAGCTGGTTTAAAAAATCACTCCTCCCTGCGTGCGTCGCATTGAGTAAGGGTGGGCGGCCAGTGCAAACAACACTGCGCAACTTTCTTAAGATACTTACGATTAATTTGTTGTAAGAAAATATGATACCAAAAACCGTGGTTTATAACCAGAAAGTCCTACCTTTGCAAAAGGAAACCATGTAGTAACCATTTTCACTTTTTAAGAATGGTTTCCTGCTGAAACCACCAACATCTCCAAATACCTTTAAAAACAAGGTGTGTGCTCAAAATGGTTTCAGAATGGTTTCGGTTTCAGTATGGTTTCAGAATGAGGTGTCTGAATGGCTTCAGAATGGTTTCGGAATGGTGCCAAATGGTTTCCAAATGGTTTTAGTGGTGTTTTGAAAGAGTTTCAGGGAATGGTTTCAGAACAAGGTTTCGGAATTGTTTCGCAATGGTTCCAGGAAGATTTCAGAATCGTTTCTAATTGGTTTCAGAATGGTTTCGGAATGGTGTCAAAATGGCTTCAGAATGGTTTCGGAATGGTTCAGTCTTTTTCCGGAATGGTTTCAGACTGGTTTCAGAATGGTTTCAGACAGGTTTCAAAGTGGTTTCAGAATGGTTTCCGAATAGCGAACGGTGTCAGAGGCGCGTTGGAAGAGACAATAGCATTTTGGCATGGCTTCAGAAAGGTGTCAAAACGATTTTAGGAAAGCGTAAGGTTCTCCAAATGGTTCCGGCGATGTCTTGAGAACAGCGCCGACAAAGGTTTAAGCAAACCTGGGCCTGCTAGACTTCAGGATGGCTGTCAACCGGGAATTTGGATTTCGTACAACTGGCGAAGGCATCGTGGCAGTTGTTTGTGTCACACAAGCGTTTCAACACGCTCGAAGAGGTCAAACACAATAAGACTGTTAGTTGATGGAGCAGGGGCATGGATAGAATTATCAATTCCGAATCTCTGACACTCATGCTCTCAGGCTGGCAAAATTTCAGAGCAGTTTCGGAGGTGTCAGATCTTGACACAAGGTTCCACCTTGTTTTCAAGGTCTCGCACTTGACAAAACGGCTGGTGGCTCTTTTACAACGTTTGGCTGTAGGGCTGGAGACTGCTCCACGCTCAATATAGGGGACACCAACATTTCAAGATGTTGTCAACCCGGATTCTTTAAAACCGCTGTCCTAGCAACAAAGCTAAGAAAGCCACATCCATGTGCTTTAAGATAGCTCGCGGGAGTCCATAGTCGGCCTCTTCTCCTCTTCAGGTTCGCCGGTTGCATGTTCTGAGCCGTCTGGATCTTGGTCTCCTTCGTCTTTGTCTCCACCTGAAACGGTGGATGTAAATCATTCGGAAGAATGCCAGTCATAGCGAATTTCATGAGCTCCTCAGCCTTGGCAGAGCACTTCGTCAAGCAATCTGCAAGACAATTTTGTGAGCGTACGTGCGAGGTCATGCATCTACCCGCTCTTGCTTTCCAATTGTCCTGGTTGATGAGTGGTTGACGCAGTTGCAACCAAACTGTTTGCATCAGTGCGAATGTGAACGTCTGTAAAAGGCGTGCCAAAATATCGCATCAGTCCGTGCAACACAGCCACCGTGGTGGACATGGCGGTTGCACCGATTTTGTTGGATGCCCAGTCTGAAATTGTTCTACGACGGCATGAGTGATAGAGAGACGCGAGGAAACGAGCGGAGGAAGCCAATTCTCCGACACGCCCTGCGCACGGCCACAAGTTGGACGTCGTCCTTGAGGCGCCGCTCGAAGTGAACACCTGGAAGCTCATTGATTGCTACGTGTTGGTGGACATTGATGTAGTCTCCGTGCTGTTGTTTCGGGCGTTTGCCTGGAGGTCCTTGCGGATTTTGGCAACGATCTTCTGCTCAAAGATGCTGTCGCCTGCCAGGAGAAGGTCGTCTACATAGAGACATAATCAGTAGCTCCTTCCAAGTTGAATCCATTATGATGGTCTGGTGTAGCCTCTGCGCACGAGTTGGCGCCAGGTCGTGGGATCTCAGTCCTGAGTCAGCTATGTTCCACAAGCGTCTCGGAGCGTCGTTCAGCCACACGCGAGCCTTTTCATGCGGCGCTTTCTGGTTACGTCGCAAGGGTCTCATTCATTTTTCTGCCGGCCCTGCAAACCTCTCAGCACCCAACAAGCTTGCGCGTCTCTGTTGGCGGTGCGGACCCATCTTCCCGTCACCCATTTCCCACATGACACAGCCGGCCACCGGGAACCCAGCCCGTCAGGCCCGTTCCTGCACTTCCAGTCTCTGCATGTCCTTTCATTTCCTTTCACTTGAGCCCCGTTCCCATCCATTTCCAAGCCATCTCCCATCTATTTTCTCCTTTAGTTTTTGGGTTTTTTGTTCCTTCAATCATCCACAATTGCCCATTCATCTTCCATCCATTTTCGACCAGCTCCATCCCTTCCACACAATATGCATCCATAATCCATAAATGTTCCACCCACTTCCACAAGCTGCCATCCATCCATTTTCCAGGATTGTTCCATCCATTGTCCATGATTTCCATCCATTTTCCATCACATCAACAGTCCATCCATTCATTTTTTATCCATGTTCCAGCCGTCCCACAGTTGTTGCGCTCATGCTGCGAAATGCTCCCCTTTTGATGTCTCCCGTCCTGTCACTTCATTTTCCTACATTTGGAGTTGTCATTTGTTTCATTGCCCTTCAGTCGCCTCATGTCATCTTGCTCAAAGTTGCCCGCGCCGCGCTTCCACGTCATTTCCTTTCCGGCCATAAAAAAGAAGTTGAAGGATGGTCCAAGTAGCCCGCGGGGCGCTTTGAAGTTGTCTGCTTCTCCGGGCATGGAAGTTTGTTTAAAGCACGCCAGAGCGTAGCTCAGGCAGCGCCTGCCTACAGTCGGTTTGCGCATGAAGCTAGACAACACGGGAAGCCAGACAACACGAGCAGATTGAACAGTCGACGTCGCGCTGCACAGCGTTGCAGTGCATTGTGTTAGCGCCCCGCAGAACATAGCTCCGGCAGCGCCTTTCTTTCCGACGCAGCGTCGGCTTCCCACAAGCAAGCGTGACTGCAGGAGGGCGCACGATTTACTTTACGTTGGCCATGCGCAATCACTAGCCAGGCGCGGTACAAGTGGGCCTGCGCCCAAGGAGCTGTGTGAACGAGCCAGTCTGCTCTTCGACCACGACAGCAGCATCAAAGGAAACAATCGCTCCATAGGGTTTCGGTCGGAGAAGCAGGGTCGCTGCTTTTGCAACGAGAAGAACAAACAGCTTACCCCTGTTCATGCGACGCAGGGAAAAGCTTTGTTCAGACCAACAGGAGTGCAGAACTGTCCAGTTCATCTGCTCAAACCAGCAGGGAACGGTGTTGTAGCGTGTCGCAATGTGACAACAGATAACAACAGTGTCTTTTTACCAAGGTGCTGTTGTAGCCAGCTAGTAAGAACAAGCTGTAATGCGCAATGGTCTCACAATGATGTCACGGACCTTCGAAGCCCATGTTCAGAAGTGGTCTGAGGTCTTGCTGCTTTTCCGGCGCCGACACGGTCACATTCCTCCCAGCGGCGCGTAACTACCGCGCAGTTTTGGAGCTATCTACTTGCGGCGGGCCGTTAGCTTCCTTTAGCTCTAATGTAGACTTCATGCTTCGCAGACGCCAGAAAACCTTTGCTGAGGCTGACTCCGCCTCCAATCGAAGAATCGCCCCCCCAGAGTAATAACTGGGTCCGGCTTCTGGCGCCGGCAAGACTTCTTGCTTCGTAAAGCTGGAACCTGAGACTTCTGCCCCTTGTCCCTTCTTGGCCGCGGAGCTGCGCAAGTACACGTGCTTCAAGGGGCGGGGGAGAGGCATTTGCCATAAAATCTACGCACTGAAGTATTGCCCCGCTGGCTGGATTGGTCCACGAAGGCCGTTCTGCCAATCGCCGAAGGTGCGGCAGCGCATTGTTGTTCGGACACACGATAACGTCTGGTGCTGCGCAACGCGGCGGCCACCGGGTTTCACAATTAAGAGCACTGGTTGTCCAGGGGCTTGCTCATACTCTGGGGGCTGCGGTTTCGTCATAGCTGCGCTACCCCTCGCAGGCCTCCCCGATCCAATTCTTCGCTTCAAGGGTTTACATGGGCCCATCCCTTCATTCCCACAAACACCTCGGTTGTTTTTTGGAACCCTAAACAGGATAACATCTAACCTATTCGGAGAGCATTCTCTATGGAAAGTCAAAACCAAATACAGATTGCCGCCTCCAAAAATTCCGTCCTCCGCCTGCGCAGGTGGATGCTGCGCTGCTTCGATGATCCTCACCTCCGTGACCTCGTGCGAGGGTCAAGCTCCATTTGTCGGGCTTGGGATTGCGCTGCTTCGATATCTTGTTTTTGTGTCCCAAACCCTCATGCGTGAAACTCTGGAAAGGTTCTTCACGATCCCTAGTACACCTGATAAAATTCCGTTTTCGCCTTTACACACGCCCGCAAACACAGAAACATGAGCGGCAACCGGCCGAGCATGGGCTGGGTCAGGAACGTGGTTGGGGGTTGCTGGCCCCCCTGTAGTCGCCCGTGGAATGTCCCTTCCATACATAAGGGGGGTGAGGACACGGGTCTTTGGTGAGAGCCGCGGATGCGGGCATTGGGGGCAACATGCGTATTATGAGGCGTGGCCAAAACTCATCCGTTCATTCCTGCTGTGATGCGCAGTTCCGGATCCCTTCTTAAACACCATTTGAGAGGCTGGGTCTCTTGTCGCAGATCGCAGCGAGATACAAGATCATGTAGCGCTCGCTGAACAAGAAGCATGAGAAGCGTTGACACCCGGAAAATAGTTGGTGAATCATCTTGGATGGCCCTAGGTGCTCCGCAAAAAGCCGTCCCTGGTTTCATCACAGACGTCTGCAAATGGTTGGTTACCCGGAAATTTTCGTGAGTTCCCACCCCGACCTCATTTGGACAATTGAGGAAACTTTTCAGGGACCCTTATTAGGTGGGAGTCGTGCGTCAGCCACTTTCCAACAGCGAGCCAGAAGACGGGACCTTTATTAACCGCAAACCGGCAAGCTCGCGCTAACCCTGTTGTTTTGAACACGGGGCTCTTAGCTTGAGCCAAACGGGCACTGCCGTAGGCACATATAAACTTGCAGCGCGCAACCCAAGAGGGGTGCCTCTTTGGGGGCTCAGGGGACGCGATTCTTAGACGCACTGTGTTACAGCCACGCTTGAGCTGCGACCAACACTTATGCGGTCATTTACCAGAGCAAGCACAGGGCTTACTCAAGATTTTGCAAACGCTCCATGACTTTGTCGCGCCAGCTCGAACATCTTCTAGCTTTTCGGGCAAATTTGCGCGCGGTCCCACACTTCATGGGTTTGAAGCGCTTTTGTAGAGATGTCGGCAGCTCGTAAATCTGTTGAAACATGCTGGGTTACCACACCCGCGCCGGGCTCAAGCTGTTCTGAAAGTGTGGCAAGGTTCACCTCGTGAGTGAAGTGAACATGTTGCATCTTCGGCGAGTAGCCTTCTTTGCAACGAGGATGGTCGTGATTATCTTCATGGGCAACAGATCAACGGGGTGACCAGAACTTGCTTCTTATGGCGCAGTGGGTGAGGAAACTACTTTCACTCCATGACTTGGACCCGCCCTTGTTAGCGCAAGCGTAGGAACTTGCTTGCTACCAGGAATTGTGTACTGGGCTGCCACAGCCGGCGGGAGGCTGCCTTTGCAATCGGGGGAGCGACGACTGAACCTCTGAAGGTTCAACAACTAGTTGGGAAGGTTGATGAGCCAACTCATGTGTCCGAGCGGCGGATGAAACACCTTGTGGTTGCGCACGCAGCTCGTCCTCCTGCGCAAGAACGTGCTGCGCCTCCGAGTCGTCGGGCTGCAGGCTGTGGGACACCGAAGGATTTTGGGAAACCAACAGGCACACGTGGCGCAAGGTCTGAGCTGCATCCTTCGGGGGGGCCGGCTTACGTGAGGCATTGGGAAACTCTTGCTGGGAACCTTGCAAGCCTACCTTCTGCGCAACGGCTTGCACTCTCATCCAGAGGGACTGGAACTTGATGTGCCATCAATGAACGAGTTATCACGACCCAATGTGTCGGTTAGCTTGCTTTGCTGGAGGATGGTTTGATCCCAAAAAAATCTCATCCCGTTCCAACCTCAACACTTTGGCTTGAGCTTGGGCCCTTGCCAATTCAACATGGCTAGTGGCATCCTGCCCCAGCCGATTCGCATGGCTCCCTGTCTCACAAGTTGAGTATGTTGGGCAGCTTGTTCAGCGAGGGTGTGTTGCGCGCTGCGGGTGGCCTGGCCAACCACACCTCACCTAGCCTACGCCAGGCCTGTTCGTGGGCACGGTTCAGCGCCGAACCAGCCACGAAAACAGCTGTGTTTTTTCTTGAAGATTGGCGATGAGGGTTAAAGGCCGCAGGAGTTGTCGTTGAATCGAGAATCGGCCCCTTATCCCTTGATGATGCAGACCTAGAACCATGAGCGAGCAAAGAAGGACCTTAGGGTTGTCCTCGTTTGACTCACCGCCGCAATGTGATCTTGACCTATTATTTTCTGTGGGGAAAACAGCTTGGCAATCGGCCAGGCTCACGTCTGCTGGCACACCGCGCTTTATCTGCTGTCCAAGCAACAATGGATTTATCTCACAACCTGTAGTGGGCAAAACGCACTTCGCCTCCGGACTCTCTGTGTTGCGCTTTGGGAGCCACGACCTGCCACGCTCTTTCTCCCAGCGCTTAAGCTGCGGCCTTCGGACAAAGCACTGATCACCCTGTGGGGAGGCTGCGTGCCGTGCCTTCTCTGCTGTTCGGTCAGGCGCTCGGCGCTGTCTAGCCCTTGTGCTCGCCGGAGCAGCGCAAGTATTGATCCAGCTCCTCAAGCGCGTCGTAAAGGGCTCGGTTGATCACACCAACACAGGAAACTCCAACAGCTATGGGCTCGCAACCACTCGCAGCCATTGCCTTCTGGCTCACGCGCCGGTACGCCGAGAAGCCGTCATGATTGCCGTAGCACGTTAGAATTGGCAGTCGGGCAGCTGCGCGCTGTGTCCTATTGCTAGAGGCGCTCAAGCTTCCATCAGGGCGTACTGCCACTTGGTGACACAGCGGGTGAGATCGACTGCTGATTGCCCAAGGCAGCCTGGTAAGGTCAGCCTCGGCTGCTGCCGCGGCGGCGGCGGTGGAGCAAGCTTGTACCTTGCGCTCTTTGGTGCCTTGAGGAGCTTCAGTTGACTCACGTCTGGGGCGCTTCGTACACCCGCCCGGAAACAGGAGGCGACAGGTCGAAGCCCTTAAGGGTCTTCGTTGCGGCCCTTTGTGGACTGCCTGTCCGCGGCGGGAATCAGGCAGGTTAGGTCTGTCGGACGCATACCTGGTCGCAGAAAGGTCTGCAACCCAAAGGAATTCTTGCGGGGCAAGCCGTTTCATGTTCTCGTCTCTGTGGCACCCACACTCACGTGGAATCGACGCGAGTGATGGGGCACACCGCGTTTGCCGGCGCCAGGACGGGTGACCTACGGATCTTGACCGCCCTGCGCGCTTGGCGGTGGCCTTGAGCTCTGGCGCTGGATGCGCCCTCAGCACACGGGCCGGAGTTGGCTTGCTACCGCTCCCAGGCACCAATCGTCTTCCTCGTGTTCTTGGAAGTTGAGGACGGCCGACGACAAGCGCCTCCGCTTGTTGATGATGGACCTGGTGTTGGTTGTCTGCTGCGCTGCGCTTGGTGTTGGTGGCTGTTGTGAAGTACCAGCTTGCCCGCGCTTTGAAGCTGCGTCCTTTGCCCCTTGTTGCAATGGTGATGGATGGTGTCGGCCTCTGGCGATGACGGCTTGATACAGCTGTGGACATGCGTCTCGAAGGTGGCGATGGCTGTTGTGAGAACGCCAGGCTGCAAGCGAACTCCGGAATTTGTCTGTAGCATCTTCCCAGAGCACCTTACCCACTTCTATCTGAAAACGCTGGCACGCCCAGCGGTTGAGTTCTTCGTAAGCCTTGTGCTAGCACCAGCGACAATGGAGCCGAAAATTCGGGCCTCGCAATGTCCAAGGCGCGCACGAGTGACGGCCGATAACCACTCAGAAGGGAAAGAAACACAGCGAACCAGAAGACGGGACCTTTACTAACCCCAGACCGGCACTGTTGTCTTGAACATGGGCATTGCCGTAGGCACAAATAAACTTGCAGCACACAACTCAAGACGCCTCATGGAATGAATGATTTAGGGTGCCTCTTTGGGGCTCAGAAGTCGTGATTCTTCAACTACAAACCATCTAAAACAGTGCTATTCATTTCCAACCAAACCTAGAAAGAACACCTATGCTGAAACCCGGCGTACGAACCGGAAGCTCTCCTCCGATCGCGTCATGGGCGCCCGCCGCCAAAGGTGCTCTGGGGGCGGTGGCACATAGCCTGATTTGGGGAAACAACGATGGCAGGTCAAACCACTAAAATTCCTTCGTGTTCAATGTGAGCAAAACGCACGCGATCTTGAGCTGGTCCCAACATTTGAAGGTTGCCATCCGTTCAATTTGGGGGTCTTCACAAAAACTTCGTGCCAGATGCAAGTCAGGTTGGGTTGGGGCATTTATTTTGCCCGAGGTTCAAGAACAACCTTATTAGGCTTATCTCAAACACTTGCAAAAAAAGAGAGCAACCCATAAACAATCGGGCGGAAAGCTAACTGCACCAACGTGGTTGGGACTATATGTCCCACCCGCGTATGGATTGTGGCTAATTTGATACGCTCTGGCCTCCTGCCCAGAAGAAACACTAACAAGTCTAACGTCTAACGCCTAACGTCTAATTTGTAAAGAACTAAGCCTGACACTCGCACATATCCCCGGATTCCGTTCAAAAAAATGCAGGTCTTGATTGATGTGTCTTAAGCCCTTTACATTGGATGAAAGTAAAAGACGCTGAAAGGTGCTCTGAGGCGGTCCGTAATTTGTAGCGAACCCGCTCGCCCGCTGGTTGAATCGCGGGGCAGCGGGGCAGCGCGCGCTGCGGGGGCTGGCGCACGCCCGTGCGCAGGCGGCCGGTGGCGGTCCACATCTTCAGGCCCTCGACGAGTCCCGACACACGAGCCGTGCCGCTATGCCATGTGAAGCCCCGAACGTGCGATTCGGCAATAGCCAGAACTGATTTGTTCAGAACCCAAACTTCTTAAGGTGGAAAACTGGCCTCTCTGCGCCGGCTGAAACTACCGGCCAATACTGGGCTTCAGAGAAGTGGAAAGGAAACCATTTCCAGGACTTCCCTCTGGATCCCCCATTAAATAGCAACAACGCTCATCTTGAGACAAGCAAATTCGAGCAGCCACAAAAGGGGGGCCCTGGTTGATGCGGTATTGACACGTGGGACCATCACACCAATGAATAGTCAACTTTAAGATCAACGTTCAAAAGGAGTGCTGTGTGCCATGGTCAAACTACCTACATCGGTCTTGGTCCTGGTACCATGGTTCTCTGAATTCTTGAAAGGCTTCATGACCGCCCGAAACACCATTTTAAGGATGCCCATATTTTGAGGGCAAAGACGCTCGACTCCAATAGGAATCACCACGCTGGCTGCGTCTTGTTAACAACGCAAGGCGCAGCGGGCGCAGCGGGCGCAACAAGGCACAACAAGGCGCAACAGTGAACGGGGAGGGTTGGAAGCGCTGAGGTCGACGAGCCCTGGCTTCAACAGTGTGTGCGTGTGTGCACGTTGCAGGGTCGTGCGCATTCCGCGGGGCAACGTCTCAGTGAGACGCGTCGCCCTGAAGACTCCTTTTGCGAGTGTCCGAAACGTTCACATCCCATGAGTCACGCAGGCACCCTCAACTCAATCTGCTTTGCTTCACTCCGCCAAGGTTAGGAACTTCAAGAACACACGCTAGTCTACGCCGCAACGAGTCCAATGGTTGTGGTAAAGCCAGAACACGTGCAAGGCCTCCGTATCATCCTCCGTCTCGCGCATGACCTGCAGAAGCAACTTCGCAAGCGGGCCAACACTAGTAAAATACGCCATGCGTGAAATATCAAAATGGCTCGGATAGCAATAAACAATCAGCAACAACAAATCATCAACAAACAGGCGCTGACGATCGGCGCCGTCAAAAAACATGCAGCTGAAGACACTTGTTTCTTCGCGCCGTCGGCGCACACTGTGTTAAAACCGCACGTTCGGCTTGAACTGGCCATTCCCAGTCAAGCTGCACCTTCTGGAGTTCTAACAAGCCTGACCTCAACAGCACGCAAAGCACTGTGCAGCTTCTGGCGGCCCCACCCTCCGCGCAGTTCGCCGAGCGGAGTTGAGATTATCCTCAGTCAAAGGGGGTGTCGCTCAAATTCCGGAGCGCGTGTCTTTTGCCCAAGCAGAACCTTGCGAAAACTTTGCCATCCTTTCAATTCACCCAAGTCGGGCTAACGTTGTAGACTCGCCCCATTTGTCTGGCAAGCGTCCACGCCGCAGTACACGAAGTCCGTCTTTCGGGATGTGATGCCTGCAGGTTGACATCGGACAAACCATTGCAACCTAGCGGAGTAGCGTTTCAGGACCAAATTAAGCAGTGACCATTTGTGTTTCTAAACGTGGGGGCCCTTACTTGCCCAAAAAGCCTAAAAAAGGTTAACCTCTTTGCAACAACATGGGGGAGGCCCGGCCAAGCACTGACACGAGAAAGCCACAAGAAGAATTTCCCCAGTTGCGGCGAGGGTCAAAAAGGTGTCACAAGGTGGTGCGCGAACCAAGATCTACCAAGACTCGCGGTTCGACCCCAACAACATTCCACCGGCACGAACCCGCGCGCCAACAAAACGACGCAGCCTGGGGTGCTTCCAACCTTTCACACGCGCTGGACGCGTCTAGGCTTCTCAGCGATTGTCGCGGTCATAGCAAAGGCAGTGGCATTATGGCCCAGAACCTGAACTCTGTCAGCGCCGTTTGAGGCTTCAACGCGTGGGTCGGGAGGGCGCAAACGATGGAGAAGCCAAGCCACAATTTCAATAAGAAAAAACCATGACACCCTTGTTTTTCCCTAACCTGCCTTCGTCAAGATCTTGGCAAACCTAGTTCCATTCTGAGAAAGGGGATTAACCATTGGGTTCATGGAGACGGGCAAGCGACAACTTTCCCTGCGCGGGGGACCTGGCTGTCGTGTTGGCTACCCTTCAGAATGGCACGAAAGAGAGGCAAGCCCAGTCCCGGAAGCATAGCCCCAGCACGAGAGGCAAGCCCAGCCCCGGAAGCATAGCCCTGTTTAGCGGCACGGCCGTCATCGGAACGCGCGTTCGCACTGGCCAACAATATTAGTGCTCCAGGGCTTCAATCAGAGATCACGCTCCTTGCTTTGGGCCCCCAAAAATGTAAACGGGTCCAACTTCCCAGGCGCACAAGCACTTGAGGTCGAGCATGGATGACGCTCGACATGTTTTGGAATCAAAAACAAGAAGAAGTGCAAACTTGAGAGGGGATTCCAAGCGTGCAAGCACTCACGTCTGCCCGCTTGAGTTCAAAGAAACCCTGGGACACTTTGTCAACCACCTTCTTCTGGTGGGGCTTGAGCCACTTCAAGCAGGTGGGGCTTGAGCCACTTCAAGCAGGTTTGGACACACTTCTGGGGCCACGAGTAACGTGTTGCAAAACTTGAAGGGGAGTTGAGGTCACATCTGCAAAGCTGGGCCATGCCTCCTAGCTTTCCTTGCCCTCCTTGAAGGAACCTTGCGCGCTGCGCAACGCTCCCCAGAAAACCCAATGTGCGCCCGAGCAGTGGCTGGTCGATGCTCCGCAGACGGCAACGCAGAGCGGAAGAGACGAAAGCATGGTTTCCAAGAGGAAATGACCGGCGCACAGTTCCCAAGAGCAACCCGGTTGTTTACAGAAAAGCGCATTGCGAATGGAGACCGAAGCACAAGTTGTCGCTTGCGTGCGCTAAGTCAGGCTCTGCTCTCTCCGCTCCCACTGTTACAACGGTCCGTGTCACATGGCACAATGGCAACATCCTTGCAGCTTCTCCAACGAGTGGAGGAATTAGGATTTTCCCTGTCTGGGACGGGGGTCAGGGCTGGCAGATCATGGTGTGCATCAAACAGACCCAGGCCACTGCCACATGACCGCGCTCCGAAACAGAAGTAGAAAAGGCATCACAATCATGGTGGATGATCAACTGGGACGTATCACGGTCGATTGTCACTCGTCCCACCGCCCAGTTCAAGGGCGTACGACACACGCCGCCTCCATCAATGAACAAACCACAACAAGTTGGACTGCTAACGTGATACACCATCGTTCGACCAACAAGATGATATAGACTCACCAGGCAGCAGCCAGTCGAGCTTCGGCGGTCTGCGTGATGTACATAAAGGCCGCGTTAGAGCCGCGCCACTCGAGTGGAGCGATATAGTTTGCAACCCCCAGTCGACTCCGATCCACGTGAACCAACTCGTTGAACCAAGCGGTAGGCAGCGCCGGCCATACGCAACGACATCCAAGGGACGAATGCATGGCATACATCCACGCCATCGGCATCAATACGCAGCTCACATCACCTCAGGATGACGCATACTTCCTTCAAGTCCATCAGACCAACTCATATCCTCCTCAGCATCCACACAACATGCCTGATCCACCCACAGCCTCAATCGACTTGTGGCGCCATCACCACCAGATGAAGACAACGATGAAGAGCTTGAACTGCTGCATCTTGAGCAAAGCAGAAGCAACCCCACCGACGCAGAGCAGTTGACCAAAGAAGCAGAAGACTGGGAAGAAGCCAGATCACCAATCACCTGGGCCTTCGCTTTGGAAATCGGGCACTGGAAGTTCACAGAGAACCACGACATATACAATGCAAGCACTGTGGAAGAAATCATTGTGTAAGAAATTGAGGGGCTGAAGCGCCCAAATCAAGCAGGTTGCATCTGCGTTTGCTGCTAGGAAATTGAGCCGGGTTTTACGTCCAATTTCTTAGCCAACTTGAAGCTTGCGCGAGGAAGAAAACCACCTCCGCACGCCAAGAACTGAACCAACGATTTCTGGTTTGTGCGGGTGTAGCCCTGCTTCACCAGCTCACCTTGGTGTGGGGCGGGCCTTGGATTTCCGAGAGGCCTTTTCGGCGACGAAGTGCTCCTTGCTCAAGGGGCTGGATTTCTTAGCGGCCTGTTCGATGAACGGCCCCTTTGCTGAGAAACTCGAAGGCTTTCTGAGCGGCCTTATCGTACGATGAAGCCGCTAAGAAATCCTTGATTTCTTAGCAAAGGGGCCGTTCATCGAAAGGCCGCTAAGAAATCCAGCCCCTGAATGTCTTAGTAAAGGAGCACTTCGTCGCCCGAAGAGGCCGCAAGAAGCTTGGTTGGGGGGGGGGATGAAAGACTCCATTCAGGGGCTCAGTTTCCAATGTTGGAAACCTGTGCGTCCTTAAAAACAAAAAAGGATACGAAAAGAAGTAGAAACCAGCTCTTGTAACTAGGAAACGGGCGTTGCCTGGGCCTCGGCCAACCGATTTCTTACACAGCGCTCGCACTGTGCTGACCAAGAAGACGGTGACAGCCGACCAGCAGATACACCGCATCGTTCACAGTTCCAAGAGACTTTGAAGGAAACCTAAGGAAAGTAAGGGCGCCTTCAAACCGACATGTCGGCGCGGTTTCTCTCATCAGAGACGCACCAACAAGAATCCTGTGGACCGGCTACGCAAGCACATAACGGACGACCGCGCGCGCTTCCAGTCTAGCACTCATCCAAGCAACAAGCTTCTACCACATCCGCATTGGGGAGAAGCGGAAGGAAACAACAGCTACTGAGACAAGAGCTTATCAGAGACACTTCTTTGAAGCAAAACTTCTAATTAGGGAGCCAACCTTGGCTTGATAATGAAGTGTTCGACAACACGCAAACAATCAAGGTCAAAAATTGGGGGCCCTCGCCCGAAAACGAGACAAGAACGGCAACTTCCTGAAGACCAACGGACAAGCAGAAGGACGAACAGCAAACAAACTGTCCTGCTGCGTCCAGGAATGGTTTCCCCTAGCAGTCTCCGTGAAGGAGAGGCACGAGCAGAGTCGAGATAAAATAATTTGTCAGATCATGGGATATCCGTCTTCCGAAACCCACGCCGGTCCGTGAAAAGAAATGATCCAATTTGTTCGATTTAGGAGGTGCAGTTGACTACCTCATGGGTCCTGTTTGGGGTAGCAATGCCCGGAATCGACAACTTCAGGGGGCATAGATGATCTTCTTACGACGGTGACAAAGTGTTTGAGAAGAAATCATGGAACGACTTCGCCAAGGTTTTCAAGTTCGTTGATACGCGCGGTTGGCACATCCATGCCCATCGGAACTAAGCCATTGACGAACTTCAGACAAGAACTTAAGAGATGACACCCCGTTGACACCTCAGACGCATACGGCACACAGAAGCGTCCTATCTCAGATCACCTGGTTACAATCGCAATTCCACATAAGCCGCGCAGGAAAGTGAAAGTGGGCATGACGCCGAAATGAAAGGACTCCAAGGGGAGCGATGGGGAAGTTCGAGGGGAACACATGGCAATAACGGGGAGGGGGCGTGAAGGGGAAAGAAAGGATATGCAAGGACATGCAGGGGACAGGAAATGGAAATAACAGGAACTCGAGGGGAAATGAAGGGAAACGGCGGGGAAGTGAAAGGGAGATGAAGGGGAAAGGAATGAGAAAGGCAGGGGAGAGAAGGACAACGGAAGGGAATAAAAGGAATTAAAAAAACAGTGACGAGGAAAACATGGGACACGAAAGGGCATGTAGGGCAAAGACTGGCAATAAAGGAGACATACATGGAAAAGGCAGCGGACATTCCAAGAAATAGCAGGAAATGAAAGGAATTGAAAGGAAAGGAATGGGCCATGACGAGGGAATGAAGGGAAACCAAAGGGCAAGACCGAGACAATACAGGCGTCATGAAGGGGAAGTGTACGGAAATCAAGGCAACTCGGGGCAAAATAGCGCTGCAACGCAAACGGGAAATGCCAGGAAAACGGAAGGGACATGCAAGGGACCTGCGGGGGAAACGCGCCAGAAACGAAGGGGGCATGAAGGAAAACTAAGGGAAATTGAAGACAATGAGAACGGAAATTAATGGAGCTAAAAGGAAATGATTGGAACTAAGGGGGGCTGAAGCAGACCTGCGTGGAAAATGACATGGAATTTACGTAGGGTTTGGGCAAGGAGAGTGGGGAAAAGGAGAGGTGGGGAGAGACGGGAGGCAGGGAGAGAGCGACAGAGCGAGAAAGAGAGAGCGAGCGAGCGAGCGAGAGAGAGAGGAGGGAACAAAGCAGAGAGAACAGAGACAAGACAACAAGCATATTGTTCAATTGTTGAAAGGAAGGTCCTGAATGCTACGTCATGTCCCTCATCGATCTTGTAAAAATCAAATCTTGTACTGGGTGCGTCAATGTCTGAGAGTAAATCAAAACTGTCTTCGAAGAAAAAGACTTTATCCTTCACCTTAAGGAAGCTAAGCAGAATATA